TATTACTTTTAATGATCTGCTTTAAAAGTAAAGATACCCCATTCCAAGCAGAAGAAGGGCCTCCTAATAGCTGTGTTTAGGTCCCAGGCTCATTATCTGGGCTGCAGATAAGCGAGATTGCAAGACCTTTGTATCACTGGAACCTCCAGTTAGGCTTGCCGACCATTATTAGAATTCCAAACACAGCAGAACTCTTCTGGAGCCTTACCAATGTTTTTTCCTGAAGATGTATCTTTATTTAATGATTCAGAGTTATTATGATGGGCCTGGCAGCCAGTTGCTCCATTTCTGGAGTATTACCATTTAACCCAGGTCAGGATAAAAAAATCCAGGAATATTCATTGCAGGGCAGATCTTTTGCTTCTTTGAGGGCTTGTTCTTCACAGTCCACCTCGGTGTGACTCCCCCAAATGTGTTGCTGGCTCTGAGAGGTGACCCCAGCAGTCCAGAAAGCCTAAAAATCCTTCCTAAAAGGATGAACCCTGCATTCTGTGCCTGTAGGTACTAAATCAACTCTTGACATGTAAAGAACAATGCAATCCCAGGGTTTTAGGAACAGATGGCTGCTGCCAAACCACAAGAAATGCTTTTGTCTGGAGCTCATGGAGCAGTAACATAGCAATGGAGGGTGTACCCTTGTCTGCTATTCCCTCTGAGCAAATTCTCAGAGCCATGTTACCAGCACTCAGAGAGATTTCATGGAACTGGGAGAGCAATGGGCTTTAATTCTCTTACAAAGGGAGGAAGAGACAATAGAGCTCAGCAAAACATGTGGCAATTTCTGTTTCTGTCTGAGAGTTATGCAAGCAAAGCCCAGTGCCCACCCTCAGGCAGCGAGACTCACGTGAGGGAACTGGTGTTGCTTTTCTTCTTCGAGCCTTCAGAATTGCTTTATTTCCTCTGCATGTGTGTAAATACAACCTGTGTCTTCCACTGATCTCCAGCTGGAGAGCATGAGTCAGAATCCAAACTTCTCAAAGCTCAGGGAAGTTTGGAGCTGATGTTCTGGTTCACTGTCACCTCTGTGGAAAAATACCTGCATGAATAATGAGAACATTTCATAAGAGGGACCAGAAGGGTCAAGTCCAGCAAAAGTCTATCACAAGCTGTTAATTAAGCACTGATCTGAAACCAGGTTTTTCCCACTGTGTTAGAAACCTTCTTCAGTTTCCAGACTGGAGTTATTAGTGACTGGTTTGTTCACATATATTACTGTGCCAAAGCTGTCTTTTAGTTTAGGTTATACACAAACACAAAGTGAGTATTAGGTTTCCTCTGCTTTTTGTCTCTTTCAGGGGAAAAAAGAAAAAAAAAGGGCTTAAATACAAGGTCACCTTGTGTTCAAGGGCCAGTTATTTCCTCACACAGTTCAAGAGTGGGAGGAGAACAAGCAAAAGGAGCAGATGACAAAGATGTCATTTATTAGGTTTGACGTCATATTTAGGTCTGTGGACCTGAGAATGATCCAGCAACAGCATCCCTGCCCCTGTTATCTCATGTCCAAGTAAATACAGTTAATTTCCTTTCTTTGGGTTATATTTGCAGAAATCAAGCAAATGCCCTCTCTCCCTGTGTTACTGAAGTGAAAAAACAATACAGTTGTTTCTTTCTTCTTGTCTTATTCAGTGGCCTTTTCCTGGTTCAGTGTAGCTTTGTGAGCGTGGGTGGCCAAACCACGGGTTGCACAAACCAGTTCCATCACCCTGGTGATCACAGCACGAGGTGAGAGATGTCAGAGATACTCCTGGTTGTGAAGAAATGACTTGCAGGGAATGAATTCTCAGCAGAATTCCAAGCAGGTGCCTTTCTGAGGTGTTTAGTTCTGCAAACCTCGGTCACTCAGGGGGGGATCTTGGCCTAAGTAAATAACATAAGATGATGGATCAATGCAGAAATCCACCCCATCTCCACATCAGCACCCTGCACATTTTAAACTGAGGGTGCAAAGCCCCAGCAGGGATGGGCACTCTGCAGTGTGGTGGCCTCTGTGGCTCCCTTGGGTCACTTGGCAGCACAATAATGGAAAGGGGAACGTGGGATTTCTTATGTCTCTCGTGTCAATGGGAACAGCACTGCTGAGAGCCACTGGGACCAAAGGCCTGGCCTTCAAAACATATGGCTTGAAAAAGAAAGCTGTGGTTTTTTGGGAAGGTCCAAATGTGTTTCATTCAGCTTTGCTGCTACTCCCAGAGTTGAGTTGTAAACAAGTCACACATCTGGGCTGCACTGCCTGGGACCGTTTTCATCGCCCCAAGCAGTTATTGGCTTCATGATGTTCTGTGTGTGCAGAAAAGAGCTTGTAAGAGGTACCCTGAGCAAACTCTTCACTGGAGAGCTTAAATGTCTTGAATCACCAGCCTGCAAGGGAGCCACAGCCTTTCACTTTATAGATATAAACCTGAAGTCTTAAAATTCTGCATTTCTAGCCCTGCAGAGTTGTCATTTACACAGCTTCCTAGCAAATTTCCATGCTGATTCTGTGTCCAGACAGGTCAACTGTCCAAAGGAACGATGGACCAAGTGCTCTCATGGGAGACAAGTGTGAACTTGAGTAGAGCTCACAAAAGCTTTTTGTAGCTATACAGCAATAAAGCTTTGAAAGCAATTTCTGTACAGCACAAATAAAGGGATGTAAAGATGTCAGGATTCTCAATGCTCAGTGTCAAGAGACAAAATAATGTTGCACCTCAGTAATTTCTGTTGAAGTAATGGGTTGTTTTCTCACTGCACAGTTGGCATATCCTGGAGTCTTTGGATTCTGCAATGTGGAGGCTGAATGTGTTTGAGTTAATTAATACTTAAAATGTCCTGTGCCCCTGATTCCAGCCTCAGTTCCCCAAAACATGACAGTGCAGGTGATCACAGAAAAGCCACTGGAACAAATAGCTACTGAACTCCAGTATGGTCAAGGATCCACAGAAAGGGACAGGGAACTTGGAGACCCCCAGTTTGTGCACAGTTGATCCAAAGCAGAGGTTTGGGGCCTGTGGCTGCTGCCAGGATGAAACATGGACATGGAGGGGACACTCTGAGAGCCTGAGGATGCCTAGAGATGGCCACACGTGTCTGGAGGTAGTTGGTAGGCATGCCTGGTTCTCTGCCTTCCCTTCCAGTTCTTGGAAAGTCCATCCGAAAAAAGCCTTTCCAAACTTCCCAGCATGGTGGGCAGGTCCTCAGTGTGGAAGAGTCAAACAAAGTGCTTTTCCTGCAAATCTGCTGTCCCCTTCTGCTCCTGACTTGTTCCTGCTCCTGGTTAAAGCTGTGCCTTGCCAGCTGAATGCCGTGGAACTCATGGCTGATTTCCACTGCTCCCAGTTCCCTTCCCACTTTTCTGGGCAGTTCTTTGGCCTCTCAGAAAGTACAGACAGAGCACAGAACAGTCACTTCCCACCCACGTGGCTTCAAACAGACCTGCACATCCCGCTGAGTAACACCAGGATGGGGCATCGCTTGGGGCTCTGCAGGGCAGAGACCTTACCCTGCTCATCTGCCATTCTCAGACCTCCCAGAGACACACTGAGCCTGTCTCATAAATCATTCATAAGGATACTTCTGAATAAATACTTTCTCTTCTCCAGTACTGAGGATCAATTTTGCATGAGGCTGTGAGTTTACTCTGTTCTTCGGCAGCGACAGAAATTACTCTCTTGGCCAGATTTTATGGATGATGTTCCACATTTACTGCATATTGTGACCTTTTTGGATGATACAAAGTCAAGTTTAGGGATCAGTCTTTCTTATTTTTCTTCCCTAATGAACAGTGTGTTGCAGTATAGAGACACCTATAATTTACATCCTTTATTTGAGATTAAAGTCAGCTCATGATTAACATTTTATATGAAGCAAGGTGGTGAACAGGAGAGGTTCATTGACTTTTCAACCCTGGACTCACCCAAACACTGGTTTATATTCCAAACAAAATAATTGCTGGGTTTCACACCAGTCTTTTACCAGTGCATATCACACAATGTTGCTGTTGGGAAAAACTGAATTTATTAAGGCAGTATATTTTAAAAGTTGGCTCCAGCACCACACAGCTGGCAACAAGGAAAAAGTAATCTAAGGCAGCATGTAAAAAACTGTTCTCTAGTTAGACTGTGAATTTTCCAATAACTGCCTCCAACAGCCCACCCTATGACACTGATTGCAAGCACATAAAGCCTGATTGTTCCAAAGTCATATAAATAAAACGTGGATGTTGAAATGCCAACCTCCCACTATTCGCCTCCAACCTTTTCTTTTCATCTCTTTACTGCTTATTTTGCTTTTTTTTTTCTCCCTTTCCTGGTGTCCTTCCTCTCACTGGTGTTTTCCCTCAGTACCACCCCCTCTTTGCCTCCCAGAACCAGGTGGAGGTTTCAGCCTGAAGGGCAGAGCAGTGGGAAGAAGCTGGGGTGGGTTTGGTGAGCACATCAAGCCCCCAAAAGCCGGAGAGTGTAGGTTATTTGTGTGTGCACACAAATTCACACACCTGGTGCCCACCTGAGCAATCCAGGGGATCACTGGAGCAGTTTAGGAGGTTCTGAACTCAAGCCTGGCTCAGTGTGTTTCACAGTGTTACTTGTAGAGTTGAGTCTGACAACCCAGAGCTGTTCTAAGATCTTTTAATCTTTCACCTCCCACTCCATTGCATAAGGACAGGCCACTCATCACTCAGAAAAGAGCTATGAAAATAATAAAAATAGATGAATTAACCTGGAAGAAAACCCAAGAAGCTCTCACTCTCACTCCTGTTGTCTGGAACTAAACTGTATAACATACTTTTTGTAACATACTTTGTGTAAAGGCTTTTTACTCAAACACAGTGTCGGTGTCACTTCTTTGGCCCTTTGGATTGGTGACAAGTTTTTGTAAATGTCTCTTGTTAGACCTAAGTAGGGTGAAATGTACTACAAGTTTATCTCTGTTTTCCTAACTAAAAAATTAAGCAAGTTGTTAAAGAGTTTCACAAAACCTTTGAGAGCAGAAAGGATAGGTTTTTAAAATGTTTTTATTGCCTCAGTAATGCACGTTAAAAAAATGTCTTCCACAGCAAAACACACTAATAACAGGGATGAGTGCAAACCAAACAAGTCAAAGTAAATTATCTATGAAACCACTTATTTTAATGCAAGAGGGAAACTGATAAAAGTTTCAAAACAACTTTTCCTCCTTTGAGAAAGCAGAACTTTTTTTCTCTGTTGGAGCTTCTGACATAGGTCAAAATATTGCACTAACAGAGATTTCAGTGCTTTTCCTCCCAGAGAGACCCAAACATTGTCCTCACAACGTGTATTTTGCTGGCGGAGCAGAAAGACCCAGTCCAGGGCAGGACTGCAGCCAGCTCTGCCAGGCCAAGGCAAGGGCTGTGCAGACAGAACATAAAGCTGTGCATTCCACCCCACGACTGCTCTCAGATCTCTGTTCCAGGCAGTGTGCACTGACTTCCAAGGGCACAACCTCTGCAGGAACCCAGCTCCCTGAGCTCTTTACTCAGCTGCTTCAGCACAACTCCACAGATTCATGTTCTGTCAGGCCTTACTCTCTGAGCACCTCTGCACAAAGGGGCTATGGGATGGACGACCCAAACCTTTAGCTTTTGGTCCACACCAACATATTAAACATCATCTTCCCGTGCTTCTGATGCCAAAGCGCAGCTCTAAAGTTACCCACATTCCTGGATGTGCAGCCACCTCCTTGGCACCACAGCTCACCTGATGTCAGCACTGAGGTGTTCATAGGCTGGCAAATTCTCCTTGTGAGGACCCACTCACAGGCTTACAAAGGGAAAACCGTAATTTTTCTTCCCTGTTCAGTATTTTTGGTAATGTTATGAGATAATTGACATTTCTTCCCTCTCTCTGCTCTCATTTATTATGGTGATAAGACTTCTGAAGTATTTCATGAATTCCATCCGAACATCTTCAGGATCTTCCTCCAAGTTGGAATGTATCAGTTTTAGTTTGTTCAGTGGGGAAGCTTTGAAAATAAATAAAAAACAATTAGGTATATTCCTTTTTAAAGAGAAATTTTCACAAAGTCATGGGACAGCTCATGTTAGAGCCAGCTGAATTCATAGTACCCAATGGTTGATACCCCAAATAACACACAACACATGAAGAAGAAACACAGCAGAGCTTGAGAGCTTTACAAATAAATACAGCTGATTGCCAAATTAAATTCTTCAAACAGTATTATTAAAGGTTGAAGTCTGGTTTGGGACTCATATTCAGTGCGAATCAAACAATTCATCACTGAACTACAGTTTTACTGCTGAAGTGATATGACTTTGATTACTTCAATGTTATGGAATCATACTGTTATATTAAATATGTATTAATATATTAATACTTATAACAAATATGTAGTTGTTTGAACACTGGAACAGGTTGCCCAGAGTGTGTGTTTTCATTGATTTAAACAGCCACAAATAATTTTGCAGTATATAAGGTAGTGATTTTAAAAGGGAAATCATCAGCCTCTTATTTCAAACGGCTCCTGTTCTTTTGATTGATAGAATGCAGACTTAAATAGCCCCAAAAGTGTCAGTTAACAAAAAACATCCAATGGAAGAACCAAACTACTACTGATGAGGAAATATGGCAGTTTTAATTCCTGGCCCAGCTGCACAGTTACTGTGTGACCTTCGAGAAGCCACTCAAAATTCTGCTTGCCTTTACTTCCCCTTTAGTGAAACAGGAATATCCTTGAGATCAATCATTTCTGGTTTTGCAGAGTGCTCTTTAATTGGCAGATTTAAATGAGAAATGCAAGCCATAAGTTATGAACAACTTTAAAGACACAGAGATCAGTGAAAAGCTCTGAGTTACAGACGGAGTTTTCCCTCTCCTTACCCAGGGACAGGTTTTCTGTGTCCCCTGCACTGCCTGGCTTGTGATGTGCCACCAGGAGACACTGAGTGTCGAGCAGTGGCTGCTGCTGCACGAAGCAGGAGTACCACATCTCAATTTCCTTCAGGTGACTGGGCAGCTCAGGGTTGAAGATGATTATCACCCCATGAGAGTCCTTCATCAGAGCTGGCCAGCACGTTTCAAACCTTGAAAAAAAACCAGAAAATGGCAAGACCAACAGCTGGAAAACAGAAACGTGCACCCAAACTTCCTCAGGTTTTCTTCTTCCCTCCTCAAGAAGACATTTAAGTGCTTTTTATTAAATTATGAGTAATCTTGCCAGTGATCTATATATTCCAACTACTTTGTCTTAACTATTACACTACTTGGTCCCATGATTTGCTGACAACCTGCTATTTGGTCAAGTGCTTATTTCACCTTTTTCTTTAAAAGTGGATCTGTACCATTCTCAATTGTACCTTTTGGAAATTCAGGCCTCAATCGTAAACATACATTGTTTGAAGTTCACTCACAAAACGGCTTCAAAGAGATAAAGGCAATTACAAAGTAGGCCTCTGCCTCCTTTACCTGTAATTCCATTCCAGGAGCTGGGGACTTTACTGGTACATTCAGTTCTTATGCAAAATAAAGTTCAGCTGTGATCATGGCAGAGAGTACCTATGTCAGATGCTTTACAGCAGAAGCTATAGAAGAATATACTGGGGTAAGGAGTCAGGAATATTCCTCATCTCAAACAGATCATTGGTTTTAGGCCTGAGGTCTGAATGACCTGTGTAAACAGAACTATTAGGGGCTAAGTACCAAGGACGTGCCTTACTTTTGATCACCACTGCAATCCCACAGCTCGAATCGACATCGCAGCTCCCTTGCTGTTCCCGTTCAGGTTTGGCTTCTCATACTCCAGGATCCTGCAGGAAATGATGGATACAGGGTGGGATACGATCGTATGCAGCAGCACAGCAGAGCTGGGGGGTCTGGAGGGCACACGGAGCTCGGGGGTCTTGGGGGGGCACAGACAGCTCGGGGGTCTGGAGGGCACACGGAGCTCGGGGGTCTCGCTCACCTCACCCCCTGCGTTGGGCTGTAGCTGCCGATCCCTTCCGTGCTCTCCGACACGAAGTTCGCCAGCACCGACTTCCCAGACTGGCAGAGAGACACCCAACAGGAATTTAACGCCCCACAGCCCCAGCGGCGGTGCCCGCCCGAGCCCCCTCAAACGCTGCCCCTCCCGCTCAGCCCCGGGCCCCTCTCCCTTCTCCCTCCCTCCCTCCCGCCGCAGGGCCCCCGCGGGGCTCGGGGGATGCCGTGTTGGGGGTCCGTGTCAGGGATCCGTGTCGGGGGTCCCGCTCACCTCGCGCGGTCCCACCAGCAGCACCTTGGCCCTCAGCATGGCGGGGGGAGGGGTGACGGCGCCCCCCCCGCAGCCGCTGCCCGGCAACGCGTCCGAGCGGGGCGGAGGCGGGCGGTGATTGGCGCTGCCGCCCTCACGTGACGGCGGGGGCGGGAAGGGGGCGGCGCGCGCGGGGGGCTCGCGGCCGCCCTGAGGGGGCGAGTTCTGTGAGGGGGCGAATTCTGTGAGGGGGCGGCTCCCTCAGACCCCGCGACGTCCTCGCCGCGTCCCCGCAGTGTCCCCTTAGTGCCCCAGCTGACCCTGTGTCCCCAGACACCTGCTGTGTCCCCGCTTCGTCCCCTTCGTGCCCCCCACGGTGTTCCCAGACCGTTCCCGCTGTGCCCCCGCAGCGCCAGCGGACCGACCCCGCTGTGTCCCCACAGTGTCCCCACTCCATCCCCGCAGTGTCCCCACAGTGTCCCCGCTCCATCCCCACAGTGTCCCCGCTCCATCCCCACAGTGTCCCCGCAGAGTCCCCAGTGTCCCCGCTCCGCCCGGCCAAGCCGCCCGCGGATCTCTCTCCTGGAGTAAGTACGGTCTCGCAGCGAAAGGGCGAAGGGATCCTTTACACTCCACATGCTGATCAGGTCCAGGGAACACAGAGGGGAGAAGGGTGAAGTCCTGCTGCCGCTTCCCAGCTGCTGCTTTCACAGAGGAACAAAATTTCCGCACAGGGCTCCCTCCAGCTGTGCGATCCCTGAGCACTGAGGAGGGGAGGGACAGCTCAGTACTCTGAGGGCAGAAGGAGGAGAAAGTGGAAGGTCCCTCTCAGACCGTTTTTCTGCCCGTAGATACCAAACTTTGAGCCATGAGAAGATAATCCCTACAATTCCCGTGCAACCTTTCCGGGTCCGAAACTCAAGTAAAGATGCAAAAGGGACCACCAAGCCCAACCTGCTGGCTGCCCACAGTGGGTTTGTGTTGCCTGTAAATCCAAAGCAGCGAGCCCTGAGGGGACCCCCAGCTTTTGTGTCCATTGTGTGACACTTAAAACTCACTTGGTGCTCCTGCACTGCCCTGGTGTCCCTCACTCGTCCTGTCCTTGCCTTGTTTCATTGCAATTTTACCTGCAGGTTCTCCTAGAAAGGACAATGAAGCCAAGCTCTTGAAGATTCTTATTAAGGCTCGTTAGGGGAAGCAAGAGGCTTTATTAAATTGCAGCTTCTAAGCAAATAAAACATCTGGCAGACAGATGTGCCGCTTCAGAGCTGTTTAGTGCCCAGGTACAATAGCACTTTTAGCCAAGCTTTCAAATAGGGCCTCTAGGCACTACCACAATGTAAATGTTTATTATTAGTACTGCTAATAAATGTGAACCAGAATTGCCCTGCTCTCTCTGAGGGGGTACAGACTTCTCCATCATACTGGAGACTCATTTGTTGTTTCACTCCTGACATTGGGATAGTTTAGGGTGGTTCAGTGTGGCAGTGGTACCTCACCATCCACACAGTGTTTTAAACTTCAGGAAACCCTCTGTTTCCAGGTTGGTGGGACAAAGACAATGAAAAAACACTAGTTGCAGCTAGCACTGAATTAGACTATGCTGTGGCACATTGGAAGTGTGTTTTCTGCTTGTGAAGATCCATGTGTGGTACAGGACCAAGTTCACAATGAACTGGGACAACTCACAGTTAATCCTTTCTGTAGCTCTGTTGCTTTCTACATTTGAGACCCACAACTTCCAAAGGAAAGAGAGGAAGGGTGGCCCAGAGAGAAGAACCAGGACAGCCTCTCCCATTAGCTGGCACATGGTATGAGCTTGAAGAGAAATGTGTTATAAAGGGAACTATTGTGGACATCAGCATAGAAGAGGGAAAAAAAAGCCTAAGAGGTAACTGAAACCGGGTAAAACTGGCTGTTTGTGCAGCTGCCCAGAAAGCAATTAGGATTAATTTTTAGATGAAGTGTCAGATAGGGTCTTTGTGTGTTTATATTAGCCACTGAAGAGTAAGGAGAGCACAGCTAACTAAGGCTGCAATTTTGGGATTTATCCATGTGATTTAGGGCTTGAAGTCACTTTAGAAAGTGGGAATTAAGCTTTCAAGGCACTTAGGCTGACGTTTTCAAAGGCACCTAAGTCAAGTACATTTGATATTATCAAGGTCTGCCTTAGGCATATGGGTGAAGTTATGTTAGTTACTGGTGTATTGTTTGCTGAGAGCACATGTGTGTGAATCATTTTGCTTCACTTATTTAAAACTCTTTGTCAGACTACAACAGTGAGAAAACTCCAGCAGCAAGTGAACTACTTCCAGACAATGCTGGGAATGTCTTTAGGTCTTGCATTTATTAGCTGGCTGGTTTTCCACCCTAATGTTTTGGTAGCGAACAAAAATTATCATCTCCAGGTGATTCTCTGTGGACAGATCCTCCTTCTTCCTTCAAAAGCCAAAAGCAACTGCAAAGGTATCAATAATATTTTAACAAAAGTGTTCTTCACTCTAGAAATGCCAGTGAGAACTCGAGTGGTGAGACACAGCAATTGCTGTAACAGGGCAGGTGATGCTTTTTGCCTGAACTGCAGGTCAGAGGACTTTGCCTCCAAGTCACAGGTCTGCAGGTTTTACTGGAAGCACCAGTAAAACATGTCAGTCACCTTTCAGATAATACCTGAGCACTTGCAAACCACTCAGCCTTTCAGAAAACACTATTTTGTGTTGTGTTTCATTTAATGTGGCATATAAAATTTTCCCTATGAAAATGACTCAAAACCCCCCCTCCCCATCTTCCTGAGGTTTTTGTGGCTCAGTGCTGGTACTTTGTTTAATGTCCTGTAACAATGTTTCCAAACTTTGGAAAAAAAAAAAAAAACATACCCTGGAGCACTGAAGTTGTGTGTGAAAATGCTGCCTTGGTTAGAAGCACAACCACATGGCACAGCTCACCATGAGAGGGGAGGCTCTGCCTGGTTGCTGTTTTGTTGCATGACATTTATTGTGTGTGTGCAGAAACAGCTCTTCAGTGGGTGCAGGCAGGGACCTGCACTACATCCTCCATTTATTTATACTGGTTCATCTGGGGGCAAGGCCTAGGATGGAGGAATTGAAAGGAAGGAACACCTATTTTTGAGCATTGTAGCCCATTATTAAAAATTAAGGAGAAAATCAATATTGCCATCTCAAGGCTTGTTGCTTAAGAAGCTCAGGGCAGGGATTTGTCTCCAGGGCTCAGAGGGTAGTTGATTAAGTAAATGATGGTTTGGATGAAGTGTGGCAGTTCTCTGGAAAAAGTTTTGGTAGAGCTATGAAAAAGGAGAAAATGGAAACAGGACATTAAGTTGCTGTGACAGGGGTGCAGTGGAGCCCTGCTCTTTGTCAGGAGTCTGCAGGGTAACACTCAGTTCAGTCTCTCTCAGGAAACCTATTCTGAAATCAATAGAAAAAGCTCATGTAAAGCCTTGTTGCTTGGTTCATGCCAACACATTGTCAAAGACTACAACTCTGATCGATCTGTGGCCTCAGAGTCCTTCCCAGAGGAGATGAGGATCTTTATTTCCATTTTATAGATGGAGAAACAAAGCAGAGGAAGGTTAAATGACTTGTTTGAGCAGCCCACCAGCTGACAGCAGATCCAGATTAATTCAAATGCCTCTAAGTGTGAGTTCTGGCCACGGCCAGGCACAGAGGAGCAGGGGGGCAGACAGCTCAGGCAGACAATTTAGTGGCCGATGTGTTCTCCTGACCAGCGGCCATGAACTCAGTGACAACTTAAGCAGCCCCATTCTCCCAAGGAACCTTCATCAAAGCCAGTGGAAGTTCCCAAGGGATGAATTTGACTTGCTCCATTTCTGCAGTGACATAAAGACAAAACTCTGCCTCCATGAGCACCCCAAGAACAGACACCACAATCCATGAGTCACAATATGCAAATCCAGAAGTAGGATTTAGCTCCTGTGGTTTCAATCTTCAGGTCCGGCTGCAGATGATGTCTGTGATGGATGTTTTTGCTTATTCCAAAGTGGCTGCTCTGATCACAGTCCGTGGAGCAACAGTAACACCTAGTGGCTGAACGTGCCAGTCCCTTCCTCCTTTCCTCCCTCCACAAAGTGGAGTTGGAGGGCACACGGTGTGATTGACAGTTTTGACTTGCAAGGCCAACACTCGGGATCTCCAGGGATTTACCATTTTCCTTTCAATCCCCCACCACGTTCTGTTTTCTATTAAAAGTGGTAGATGAAATATGAAACTCTTCCTCCCACCCCCCAACCCCCTTCACTTTTCTGGCTTATGGAGGAGGTTGTTCCAGTCCATCTTGATCTGTAGGTGGGTGGGCTGTGAGTGACCGAGCCTACTGCTTCCAGCTTGGAGCACTCAGATTTCTGTCAGGAATCCAAGCTTTTTTCTTTTTCTTTTACCTTTTCTTTTTCTTTCTTTTTTTTTTTTTTTTTTTTTTTTTTTTTTGGTCTGAAAAGGATCAAGCAGATCATCTGGTGGAGGTTGGTGACCTCAGTGCATTTGATAATGTAGTGTTAACTTGCCTGTGTTAAGGCAGACCAAAGCAATCAGTTCCAAGAAGCACCATTTCCTAAGATGTGGTATGTGGGATTGTTTGCCACCATCTACTGGGACTGCTAATTCATCAGAGAGGGACCCCTGGAAAAACAGCATTAGGGAGGAAAGAACCCACAGATGTTTATTGTGTTAGCAGGAAAGCCCTTTGGAGGGTCTTCATTCCCCCTCACAGGGGAAAAGTTCAATTTTTCCATGGAAAAAAGACATTAAGCAAAAGTATTTCTGCTAAAGCCCAGATCATTTGCATTTGTAAATAGAGCCTCAGCTCTTTGTGGGAGTTACAGTACTGAGACACTGTGGGCTTGTCACATTCATGCTGTTTAATTTTAGGCTTCTGGTTTAGGTATTCTGAACTACCCATTAGGAGGGTCTTCACTGCCTGTTGACAGAGCCTGGGCTCTTAATTTGCACTGTGGACACTTGCTCTTTTACCCAGGACTAACTGCATCACCACCAACTCCAAGAGTAGCATTTGCCTCCCTTCACATCCCCAGCTTTCCATCTGGCTTCCTCCCAATTACCTGTTTAGATGG